TAAGAAGGATAACTCTAGAGCTTAACTTGCAGGTTATATTATATTCTTATATTTTTAATAATTTGCAATAAGTTTAAGGCTCGTTTTGGGAAGTAAAACTGAATAGTTAAATCGAAACAACGGCTGTTATATTTTATTGCGTTTTAGTAATTCCCAAAGAAACGTTTCAAAATAATGGAATTTAATGCTAATTTTTTAAACAGTAACGGAAATGGCGGCACGTCCTTGAATTATATTTGTTAACTGTGTGAATTGAATTTAATTAAGTTTGCATCTCTTCTTCAGAAGTACTCTGAACAAGACTTCAAAACAAACTCTCCTTCAAATACCCTGCAGTGGATGTTACAGTCCAACAAGGTTGACTCTAGACTTGCCTTACCATTCTGGGAGCCATAGAAAGTGTAGGCCCGGCTAAAACTAATTAACTGCATTCAACGCGCTCATGACATACGGCCGCATAAATTCTCCACTAGCTGTGCTCCCAACTGGTCCTCCAGCCTAATCCTTGCGCGCTGCCTTGTCAGTCACCGTTGAAATGATTTTGCTTGTTTGTGTACATTTTCTGTGTTTTTGTGGGGTGGGGGGGAGGTGTGCTGTTGTTGGGTTGCGTGGGGACTGTGCGCGAAGGTCACTTGCCAATGGCTAAGCTGGCAGCTGCTGGAACTGCATGCAAGCCACTGGCTCTGTATGTGGCAGGGATTAGGGTCTGGGTCTCGGTCTCGCCTGCACTAAAATATGCAATGAAATGGAAATGTTACAAGTTTGAAGTTAATGCGTTCAACATTCGCGTTGCAAACCCAATTTAAATAAATAATTAGCTACCTTTTGTAAATGCCACAGCCTTTGTGTGAGTGTGTTTGTGTTTGTGTCAGCTTTCGAACTAATTTGTTTTCGGATACGGACGAGGAAAGCCAATGCACGAGCATGTGACTACATGCTGGCATAAAGTTTTGTGCGCACCGTGGGAAATTAAGCAAAATGATGTTTAATTTATTTATTTATGCCTATTTATTATGAAAAGAGGCGGGTGGTGCGTGTGCGTTTTTCTGTCCCCAACAAAAGGGAAAACTTAAATGGTAATTGGCACGCTTGGAATGTGAAATAGTGTGTGAATCAGCCGAATTGTGGGGAATCGTAAATCGTTCCTCAGAACAACAGCCTGTGATTGCGGGAGTTTGGAGATTTTAACAACAACTGCATGTTTTTCCAAGTCTGGAAAGTGCATTAGATACCCTTATAATAAGTACGTTATAGAACGAAATTTACCATCTCAGAAATATGAGTAGAGAATATTCTAGGTATGTTCGGAATAATAGCAATTGAAGTTGGAATCTTTAATAAATTGTAAGATAATAATAATCGGTTACTGGAACACACATTATGCTGGTAAGCACAGACGGAGGATAAATACAGCCGGGAATAAGGGACGACTATATATAGAAGGATTTTAATAATAAAGACAACTCATGACTTGAACTCTACAAATTGTGGTGCATATTTATTCCTAAAACAAATGCTCATGTTCTTCAAGCTAATGGGTTGCAAAATATTAGACTCTTGAGAACTACAATTTAGTGTCTTAGAAATAGGTATTTCAGGATGAATCAGTTAGTTAGAAAAACGCAAGGAGAGGACCTTCTTTGTTAATAATTTATTATTATCTCGCTAACAATTAAAAAAGCAGATATATTTTCCAATGCATTGCCACAAGTCTCTTACGAATTCATTCAATACTTTTTCGAAAATATTTAATCAAATAACTTAAGGCACTTTTTCCAAAGTCATAGATGGACTGAAAAACTTGTTCCCAGAAGTGCTTGTCTTCTTTTCCAAAAACAAAACTCCTTCCAGTACCACTAACAGTTGCGTTCATGAAAGGGCCCTCAATTTTTATAATTATTGGTAAGGTGGTAGTATCTAGCCTTAAACTTGGGGTTGTAACAGTCAACTTGGAAGGAGCTTTAGTTTTACTTCTAGTTGTTGGTGTTTTTGTTGTTTTTGTTGTTGTTGTTTTTGCAATGCTCAGACCCAATATACTGACGAGAACAAACGTACTGTAAAGCTTCATCTTGTGGCTCTTTAGAAATAGTGAGCTATTTTTTTTACGACAGCCTCAAATCGTTCAGATATGGTTGGGTAATTTTTCGAAATATGCATGCAGTTGATTTTGCGATAACGAATTTTTACCCAACATTACAAATCTAATTTGTTGCCATCCTTTAATTTGGCGAGAAGTTAAGATTTTTTTAAATTTTTATACTTAATGATGTGCTTAAATTTCAATAAAATCATTGAATTATATTATTTATAGAACTATTTAATTTTCGATCCAAATATAGTAAAGGCACCTATTAACATATTTGTCGAATATAGCATTCGAGTATGTTTTGTAAAATGCTTTAATTGCAATCTTTATTTTCTTATTTATGCACATTTTTTTTTCTGGTTTCTTAAAAGGGGCTTGCATTCCGTGTTTGCAGGTTTCTTTTTGCAATATTTTACTTAATATTTTGTTGCATATGTTTGCGGCTTACTTTCCGGCCCCAATTACTATCTTGCCAGCTCCAAAGCCACCTCCACCACCTCCCCCACCTTTGCCATCCGCTCCGCCAAAAATATATTGAAGAAGCCTCAAAAACCAGTTGGTCTCCTGCTTTCCGTCTGTTTCGCGTCCAAATCCAAATCCTGCGCCTCCTCCACCTCCAGTTATGGTCATATTAAATATATTAGGCAATTTCAATGATCTCCCTTTTACAGTCGAGTCATCGGAGCTTGCGTGGACTAAGTACAGACAGAATACTAGCGCCAATATTGATATGAGGTGCATGGCGAAGTTTCAACGAATAAAACTGCATTGACATTATATAGACTTTGAGCCATGAATATCGAATATTATTATTACTTATTAAATATCCATAAATAATTGTTAGTTAATGCGGAACTTGTTGCGTCACGAATTTCATACACAACTGAAAGGGCCTACTCCTCAGATCTGCTTCTGGCATCATATTAAATTATTTATTTTGAAAATGTCTTCAGTCAGTTGCTAGGCTTATTTGCCTTCATGTACATATATTCATTTAAATGGTACAGTGAGTTAAACAATTATTTTCCCACTTGAAAGTCTATCTTGCCAATTCCAATTCCGATTCCTTTGCCACCGTTAACAGGAAATCCAAATATGCCGTAAAGAATAATGTCAAGCAAGGAGAGTTTTTTCCACGATTGTTGCCCAGACCCTCCACCGATAACTACGCCACCACCAGTAATAGTCAAATTAAAGATATTAGCGCGTTTGGACGATCTTCCTTCGGCATGCAAGACTTCAGTGTTTGCAAGTACTACGTCCAGAAAGAGTACCAGCGTTAAAGTTGAGAATAGATACATTGCGAGCTTTTGCAGAAACTGCGTTGATACATGAACATATACTCTAAAACCCCTCCATAATAATAATATCCGTAAATAAAAACTGAGCCATTACTAATTGTAAGTATTACAAACGTTCACTTACAAAAAAGTAGGCTACTTGTAATAACCGATATGTATTGAACGCTTTAGGAACTATTTTCTAGATTTTAGATTATATTATTTTTGAAGTTTCCAAAATGTACACATTCTGATATAAGTGCTGATACCAAATAAAGTTTTAATTACTGCTTTGATAATGACTTTTTGCCTTAGGATAACTGCGCAAAAAATAATCGGCACTACATACCCAAAAATATACACATAAATTATATTTAATTAAGGCATCTTATTTATTATTACAATGATTGCTATTTAATCATTAACCCACTACCTTCAATGGTATCATAAAGAATTGATTTTCTATTTTAATAACCTCCTAAATAATCTCTTAGAGCGTAGTTATGAAGACTCCAACCCTAAAGTTCTGAAATATGTACATTTTTTCACAAAAAGAGAGCAAGGTAGATCGAAAACCATGCTTTATGAGCTTTCCATTTTCATTTTAACTCCTTAACTCTTTCAGTACAAACAAATAATAATATTAATTTAGTTTCGTATCGCACACTATATTTTTATGAATTATTTTGTTATTATACTCCACTCAATGGCATCTACACACCAGCTTTACGGACTTGTATTTAAACATTATTCAAATAAATATTATGAGTGTAGTTTGAAAAGCTGCGGACTTATCACAACATTTGTTAGCTCTTGTCAACATTTAAGCTGAAGCTTCCCATAAGTGCCGTGTTCAAATATCGAACAAAGTCATGGCCTTTGGCATTGCATATCAATCAAAATTCCGCCGAGGACGGAGCACGCTGCGTATGAGCAATCCCAAAACGGCGGTCGAGCATGAGACAATGTGATTGACTGCAGTCATCGAAATGCTAACGAAGTGTCATCATAACATACGTACATATGTATGTACCTTTAGATGTACATATATGCTGTCGGTATAGAGACTAATCATGCATCGCTCATGCATGAAAATGTGTAGAAACGTGTTGGGCCGGGCAGATGCAATCGAATTGATTGTTGTAAGTAGCTGGCAAGCGTACACATACACTGTTTAGTCAGCATTGTTGGTAGGATAGTCTCAGTGGCTCAGTCAACTTCACAGCACATTTGGCCAGCTCGGTAGCTCTGTCATGGACTATGCACATTATATTACACATACGCCATGTGTGGCATGATTTATGCCCATGCTCAAGTTGTTCAGCGGCAGCTTGAGGCAGGCAGACTGTTACTAATTCCCGAGTTGCGTGCCGACACCATTCCGTTCCCTAGCATTTTATTTTTTCATAGTAAAAAGCTGAAACGCCGCAAATTATGCCATATAATATATAATTTTCTAGCCATTTGCGCCAAGTTCGGCAATGGCAGGGCCAGAAAGTGGCGCAAAAGTGGCGCAAAAATGGAATGAAGAAAATCGAATGCTGGAAGGAGTGTTTGGGTGGGGGTGTGTGTGTGTAATTCAGCTGAGTAAACAGAAATTCATAAAAGCATTTAAATAAATGTGGGGTACGTACTTTTTTGTTACAAGTATTTTAGCTTCCCCTGCTTGCTACCGCGATTTTATTATTGTGGTTGTTCCTCCTCAACTTGGCGGTCAGTGGTGCGTTAACATGGTGCGGTGGCGGCTTCGTTTAATGAGAACTTCGCCCACTCACACACACCCATACACGTACATGCCAGCATGCACATGCACGGGGCCCCTCACACACATACACTCACACGCAGACACGGGCTACATCAACAAACGTCTCTGCGGGCGAGGGGGGGGGGGGGGGGGGTTTCAACTGCTCACACTTCTCTGTTATATCACTGCATATGCGTATCGCCGTCCCAGCCTCGAAAGCGATAACGCACCAAAACTATTTTCGCACCGGAATTTTGGTTTGTTTTCAGTTTTGGTTACCAAAAATTTCGTTTAAAATTTTATGCTAAAATGTTAACGATTGACAGCTGCCTAAATTGCTACTGCATTCGTTTCCTTGTTATTGCGCATATTTATATGTACATATGTAGTTAAAGTTTGCAGTCAGAAGTTGAGAAGGAATAGTGGATATAGTAGCAACAACAGCAAAATAGCCGCGGGAAATATGTAAAATCGAGTTGTGCAGAAAATTTGCGCGAGCGCGCGCGCCAAAACGCTTCAAATGCTTTTCACTGACTGAGACAAATTCGAACTCTTTGGGTACGAAGACGACATCGACATCGACGACGGCGACAGCAGCTCCACTCGCACTCAAACACAAATACAGGCTTAAAGTTGTGCTCAGCAGGATTCTTGAGTAGTCACTCACTCAATGGAGCTCATGAATGAAACTGTACATGCGCAGTTACCGGAATATTGTGGCCTGACAAAAGGCGCCAACGGAATTCACTCAAAATTTGACAAATCGCGTGAGTTTGTAAAACAACTGAGTGTAAGAGTGTGGGTGTGCAGGTCTTGCTTGCCTTTTTATTATTATGCACTGCAGCCGGCGAGAAAGAAGGGCATCTTACAAGTAGGTTCAATCACTAAGATCAATGTATGTAAGTACATAGTAACCGCTAACAAGTTTGAAAAACATTTTAATGATTAGTGCTGTTCGCTAGCGGCAGGTGGCGCGACTGCAGTTTAAATGGCTGCCGCGGGTGAGTTACTGACCCTATGAGTAAATTAAAACAATTTGTATTCTTATTTTTACAGAACGTTCTTACTAAACTTGAAGCTCAATCGATGCAAGTGTTTGCTTGCAATTTAGAAACCAAGGAGTATTATATTTTATTTATTTATAAAGATTTTAGTTGTTTTTTTATTATTTGCTATTTATTTAATACATTTTTATTATTTATTATTATTATCTATTAATTTATTAGTTATTTATTATTCAACCTCTTATTTATTTATTATTTAGCGCCTCTAATAAATTGACTGAAAGCTCGTTTTCGTGTCAGGGTATTTCTCTGTCGGCCTTGCTCGGCTTCAATATTCTCTCTGGTTATTATATGCATGTGTATGTGTGTGTGGGGTTGTGGGCATTGTTGTTTTTGTGCGTAGAAACATTTCATTATGTTATATAACGCCACAAAACGTTTGCAGGAGCACCACCGAAGCCGGTTGAGGTCCTATTTTTGGACTTTTTTTTTGTTTTGAGCAGAAACTGTCAGAGCTAAGGTGAAGGAGAGTGTGAGTGTAAGCATTATTTACGAAATGGCTCTTTGAATCACTGAGTGGTTTCTAACATTGTCTGCTTAGCTGTGATTTACAAGTCACTGTTGCAGTAATTGGTTATTTTTAAATATGTTATTCACATACACATACAGAGATACATTTTCAAAATGGATAACATTGTTTTAGCTACTTTTCTGCAAATAAGAATTTTCTCAAGTTTTCCTTGATGATATCATGCAATCCTTTAAAAAAACCTTCGAATAACTAAATTAATGAAATGATGAGCGTAAATTTTAAATTTTGATTCAATTATTTTAACATTAGTTCTGTAGTGGCTAATCCATAGCTTATACGATTTGCCTCTTCATGCTTTTAATACATATATGTATGCGTGTATATACATTAGTAATTATATCTTGGGGCCTGCCACGCCTTCTTATCCTACTTTTTGTTTGCCAAATGTGTCCTTTTCGATATATAATTTGCAAATAAAATATGCATCATAAAATAGTACCTATTTCGATAATTGCTGGCTCCGACAAATAAAATCGGGCCCAACACAGTTTACGAGTTAGTTGAACCCTCCAGACTTTATAGTCCATTAATAGGCGTATAAACGTATGTTTGTGTATTTGTATTCCCTTGAAATTGGGGGTTTATTTACCCGCATATCCTGCACCGCAGTAAAATCACGTCTGTAATTTTCTTGTATTTTCCACCAAGACTATCAGCAATTACCATCGTCCGCTCACTTGATGGCAAGAAATTAATAAAAATTACCAATTATTGCACACTCATGACCAAAACAAATAAAATAAAAAACACAAAGGCGCGACGACAGTGTCGATTCACACGAACGTTCATTGTATGATCCATATCCAAATCTAAATCGGCAGCCGTTTTGGCTTAGCTTTGCTGACTCATCAGAGCGCCGGCTTTGGCTTTTGTTTTGACTTTGTGCGCAGCTATCCAAAAAAAGGCTGTTCGAGGCTGATAAATATTTTGCTCTTGATGGTTGTTTTTCTGAGTGTTTTTTATAGTGTTTTTTTTTTTTTTTTTTTGAAAATAAAACTGCAACATGATTTCACAGCCTGTGCATCTAGAGATACGAGTACACACAAGCATGGATACCATTCGCAGTATGTATGTATATAGATATAGACGATATATAGGTGTGAGTATGATATTGGCGTTGTTTAATTATGAATTATTTCATTTCAGTTTTATATGCTTAACTGCGTCTGCTGACAAGCGAACAGAGGAGCTTGTTGTTTTTGCTGTTGTTATAATTATTATTGCATTGCCTACACTAACATATCGTTGAAAATGCTTAAGTATATACATATGTATGTACATCGAATATACATACGTACATATGTACGTCTGTTTGTGCAGATTTTTATTTTGCTTGGTGAAAAGTTGAAAAATATTTGGAAAATACGACGAACGCAAATAGCGCATGATATTGAAATGTAGGCGGTTGTGTGTTGGAAGGGAAGGGAAGGGAAGGGAAGGGAATGGAAGGGGGCGAAGAAACAGACTATGAGACTTTTGTATTTAAAAATGATGTTACAGCGAATAATAAAATTCTCTTACCAATATACAAACTTAAAAGAAAAACTGTCTCATAAGAAAATATATATACCCAACAGTATCAATCATACTCTATTAGCCCCTACACCATATACTTCAGTGAAAGACCTCCATCGGAATAAGACTATAAAACTCTGCTGATATATTTATAGTCGTTCCCCTTTCCAGAGACAATAAATCTCTTTTATATATGTACAAGAAAGGATTTATATTTAAGCAGTGCAAGACCAGAAACCTAGAAGTTTTCAATATTATTAAAAAATAGTAATAAATAAACCTTTATAGTTTTGATTAAATATTAGACAGAAATATCAATAATTTCCAATTTATAGTTTAATGTTAGACAACCTGTTGTTATTGTAAAAAACGCTTACGTTATTCGCGTATTATTATTATTCTTACCATATTATATTACATCTTACCATATGCTATATTTGTTAAGGGTAAAAGGCAATACATAAATAAAAATGTTCAAAAATGTAGCTTAAACCTTTAATTAAAGAATTTTTTATGAATAAATATGTTTGTATTTGATTTATTTAACATTTGTAACTTATTGTACAATTAATCCTAACTCACAAAATTTTGATACATATAAAAGTATATGTAAAGGCGGACCAACGAAGGCCTTCAGGCAGGATATTTAAGAGCTACTGAGAATGTTCCAGCCCATCACCAAACCGAATCAGATCCAACGCTAACATTCAGATTTAAATCACATGACACATTTATAATGCCCATATTTGTAAGGGTATTTTGAAGAAAAATGCTTTTCATTGGAATTGCGGTCTGATCTATGCATGTATGTGACGCATCGTTCAGTAAGTAAGGCAATAAACAACTTGCCATAAAATACTTTATACAAAAATCGTCAGACGATTGCAGTGCATCTCACATTGCACATACGCCCCGTGTTCACGTGAACCATTGAGCCTCCTTTCAGTCGTTTGATCAGCTGATGTGGCAATAATACATTTCTATAGTTATTTTTAAATATATGTACATACATACATATGTATAGTATATCGATGTTGTATGTATGTATTTACATATGTACACCTTGTCTTGCACTTTGTTCCGCACTTTTCTTTGTCTAGCGATCGATAACGACTGATGGTTAACTTGTCGCTTGCCGGTCTGCTACGTACACATATATGTATGTACATAGCCATGCATGTACGTATTCATGTAGGCAGTTTGATGACGCAGCAAAGTTGAAGTCGATGAGTGTGACAACAACAACAACAAAAGCCCGAAGACGGTGTGCTGAAGCAAACAAAATTGAAACCAAAATCACTTATTGATCTTTTCGCTATAAGATTCATCTAGAAGCTTATGCTCTCTAGATAGATGCCTTGGAATGTGTGGTCAGCATTTGGGGCAGCTCTCTGACGCTCCCTCTCTCTTTTTCACTCTCTCTGTTGGCCACATTTCAACTCGCATTTGCTTTGGGCTATTTATAAATCTGATGTGCGCCAATTCTGCGGCCAGAAGTGGGTAAATTGAGGGATCAATCGTAATAGAGAGAGAGGGAGAGAGAGCAAATATAACAGCTTATTTTTACAAATACAAGTTACTTAAATATTTACTACCTATTTAGGCCTTAACAAGCCGCTTTTAAAGCGGCAATACGCAAATCTTTCAATATTTACAAACGCAACCAAATGAGTCTATTTGCAAATGTGAGTGAACCAATGAGCGGCAGAGACCGAGAGAGCCAGAGAGATAGAGAGGGAGAGAGAGAACTTAGTAAGTGGCAGCAGCTAGCCCCAAAAAAGCGTCTACAGTGAACAAACGTGCGCTCAGTCGACGAACAACTTTGGCAGCGAGCAGTGGGCATTTGAAGCTGGAGCAGTAATAATAAAATAGACTACCGTTTCGAATCGTGTCTCTTCCTCCGCATGTGTGCATTAGTGTGTGTATGTGATAGAGTGTGTTTTTGAAGTGGCGGCAATGTGCAAAAATAAAAAAGCTTAATATATTTAATTTCTATATAAATACACACACATACCAAAAAGAAACTAAAGCCAAATCAAAACGGCACGAACGGAAATTCAAAAGTGCTAGGCAAAGTGTAGCATGTATGTGAGAGAGAAGAGAGAGTGAATGAGATAGCAACAACTGCATGAAAGGCAGTAGCAGTGTGGCAACAATAACAACAAAGAGTGACATCACGCCAAGTCAATTACATTGTTGTTGTTCCGTGACTCGCAGGAACAAAGTGCGAAAACGCAACTAAAGTAAAATACATAAGCTACATACATTTGTACATACATATGTATATGTATGTTTGTATGTAAGTACATACAAGTGTAAGCGAGAGCCAAAACGAGACAACAGCCGGCTGCGGAACATACGAGAAGGGACGCACGTCGATAACGGCGACGACAAAAGTGCCACTGCTACCACAACTACTACGTCAGCTACGCGGCACGAGACGACGCAGCTCAAGGTTAACTTCGCCTGCATTGCGTGCAACAAAACAATAACAACACTAGCAACCGCAGCACCAACTCCAACAACGACACGTTGAGACTTTGACATTTTCATCGCCAAAGTTTCAAAATTCAAAAAAAAGATAATTTTTCTCAAAACAAAACTCAATTTTTGATTGAACGTAACACGTTACGTGTGTGCTTAGGGCCTCCAACACACACACACACGCACAGAGTGACGCACGCAGGCAGCAGGCAGGCGGAAAGGCAAATATTACGTAGCCAGCCACCCAAAGTGTGAGAAGAAGTGTGAGTGAGTGCAGCAATAATAATAATAATAACAACAACAACAACGGCACAATAAAACTTGACTCAAAAGCCAGAGCAAACATGAAGCCAACTGTGATAGCAAATGCTAATGCAACAGCTCAGGCTGGTTCTGGAGCCGGACCCGGAACTGGAGCATCCACTGGCCATGCTGCTGGCGTCCACATACCGATCAATCGCGAGTATGGCACTGCTCCCCCTCAACAGCAGGGCCAACAATATCCGCACCAGCAGTCCCCTTATGTGGATGGTAACACCGGCTATGGCTCTCCGAGGCAGCAGCAGATGCCGCAGCCGCAATCGCATCACCAGCCGCAATTTTTTCAGGTGAGTGACTGACTGTAACTGCGTCGACTGTGAGGCTCAAGGCCGTCGCCAATGGCATGTGGGCGGGCGCCTGACAAGGTCATCAACGTTGCCTCTCGATTTTTGTTTTCGTTATTTGTTGTTACGAGCTGTCGTTGATTTTATTTAATTCGGACAAGTAGAGCGTCCAGACCAGGCCACTTAATTCAGTTCAGTTCCTATTCAGTTGCCATCGCACTTCATCGGCTCATACTACACCTTCAGCTCGTTGCAAATTCAATTAGCGAGCACACATTGTAAAATCCCAGAGCTGCAATTTGTTGTAAATTTTTATTTTTTTCGTGAATGCAGTTAGGTGCATCCACATATCTAACTGAGTAAGTTCACGCACATAAGAAAATTAAGTAAATAAATCAGGATAGGTAACAATGCGTTGCATCCGCATACGGAACGCTGCTGAAGCTGCTAACAATTCCAATATCGATCAAAGTTTTCAAAATGAAACTAGTGTTCTTATTTTCATGCAATTGGCTGTTGGCTTTTATAAAGTCATTCTTCAAAATATCAATTTTATGATTTAATTATAGGCTATTATTCTTATTTATGGCAGAATAAATAATTTCTATATCATTGTCGATCGACTGCGAGTATGAAGCAACGTTTTTAGTCCACGTTGTTTTTTATTCATTAAGAATTATTTTTGAAAACGGATTTAGAACTAATTATGTTAACTTCATAATCATACTTTAAATGAGAAAGATTTAAGCTAACCTAAAACATTAAATTGTTGGCATAGAAATCAATAGTGATTGTTATAATAACTTACACAACTTAAACACATATGTGTTTAATGTTTATTTAAAGCTTTTTTGTTTAGAAGACGCAGACAGTAAGCTACATAATTATATTTTATTGTACTTATTTTTTTTACATTATTTTTCAAGCCATAAATATTTATTCCTGATGAAATGTCATTCCTTAAACTCCTTAAAGTAATCATAAATGTAGTCAGAAGTAATGTTCTGTCAGTTTTTTATTTCATGTATGTATCATCTAATATGATGCTTTCGTTTGTTAGCAGTCTCCTCAACGTTTTCGCAATGCATTTTCACGTTAAAAAAAAAAAAAAATAAATAAATTTTCCGATTGCTAAGTCGCACAATAATATACACATATGTACATACATATGAACAAGCGCTTTGGTTGATTGCGTAAAAGTGACAGTGACAGCGCACCCCCTGGAGCGAACAAGCACATACCAACACACATGCAATGTACATACATACCTATAAGTATGTACATACATACACATGCAGTCGCTAGTCAACTCGGCAAGCCTCTAAGTGCTTATGGCTTGCTCGTGTTTATTTGCACTTCGACTCCCCCACAAACACGCTTACAGAGAGACATACACACACATACACACACACACACACACACGTGCATACAGTGTGTCAAGTATATATGCTTACACTATTGACCTACTCTGCTTAGCAGGGGGTTGTGAGCTGTGTGCCGAGCGCCTTAGGTTGACTGGCCAACGTTGCGTATGATTAATACGGAAATTTACAAGCAACTACAATATCAGCTGCTAGTGGGACCTCGAGCTCTTGTTCTTGAAAATCCGTCCAATCTAATCGTATACTATTCTATAAGTACTTATGCATATGTATATCAGTCTGTTGCTGCTGTTGTTTTAGTTAACAGATTTAATGGTCGATTGGCTGTTTTGTGGTGTTTGTCGACCAACGAAACGAACGAGAAAATATTTCTAGAAAAAACCCTGACGGACAAACACAAATGCCGCTCGCTCATCATCTTCTCACTCTCTTTGAATTCTCGCGGTTCACTTGACAAATGAGCGCGATATTTTGGTGTGTAGGTGTACGTAGGTGGGCTACACATAAGCACCCACAATACATACACATATGTGCATACATATAGTAAATATGTATGTAAGGCTATATAAGTAAAAAACGTCGTATATTTTGTCTAATGTGGCGCGTGGGCGGCTTTCAAACGACAACGACAAAGGCGACGACGACATTAGACTGAGCAACAACAATAAAAAGGTAGCAGCATGTAGTGGCAACTTTAGTTGCTCAACTTCTTGGCCAATATGGCATGGCTGTAGTGACGTTGTCTGTCTGTCAATGAACGCCTAGCAGCTGAATAATTATAATTTATGTATTTGAAATCTTAATATCTGTACACAATGTGTGTATGTTTGTATGTATTTGTGAGCAGCTGCTGCAAATAATGGAATGGGTGTAGTTTTTAACAATCTTAGACAAGCGGAAGTGCTCGAGATAAAATTCTTGAAGCCTGCAAGTAAACACACTTCCTTTAAAACACACACATTTGGCATAACAATACCTGAAAATACTTACAGTCATTGCTTTAACTGCTTTCTTTTTTAATGTTTACCAAAAAAAGTTTTTAAAAATATATGTTGAGCACTTCAGTTTAAACGGTTGTATCGCAAATATTAATACAAGAGTTTTCAAATTTGTGTTTTTGTTTTTCTTATTTAACTTGTTAAATATATCGAATATTCCCTTTTTAAACTTGTTGAACTTTTCTCTTTAATTTAGTTTGTCAAACAGCAACTAATTCGACTTTCTTTTAATAACTACCAAAATTGAGCTTCATTGTGCTTCAAACTATTCCTTATAAATTGCTTATTACTTTAAATTTATATTTGTATCCCGCTAGAACACAAAGTTTCATTGCAAAAATATTCGTTTTAATATAATATTAAAAAGTTAGAATTTTAAACAATTAACTTACTCCTAGCTTGGAATACGCGCCCAGCATCCTACATCTGTGGCAATTCGCCAATTTGCTCGAAAATGCCAGAATCAACAACAAACTTCCGTCGTCTGCGCAGGCCGCATCGTCTGCACTATATAAGGGTTGCATTCGAAAACTTGATGTTTATTCACTATTCGTCGCGCAAATGGAACGGACAACGCCATATAACTAGAAAGGAAAATAAGCGAAAAACAAGTTGTTAAAAAACACAATAAAGCTTGGTTGTAACGTAACAAATATTTATTGGCAATTGCAAAATACTCGTATATAAATTGTAAGAAAGTGAGAAAGGTGCGCAAAAAAAATAAAATCGTAATGTATTATTTGATATATGCATACATATTAAACGCGGGCGACATACATAATTAAAATTCCAAACAAAAATAGTAGCCTCATTTAAAATTTTTTGCAATTTGGCGGCTGCCGACGCCGATTTCGACGCCGTCGTCGCTGCCACAACGCGTCACTTTTAAAATAACAGCTGTGCGTAGTTATCGATAATCGATTGCTTTACTACAATTTGCGCGCTCTCGCTAAATGCTGTGGCTGTTTCAAACATTGACGTCACTGTTCGTTCCCTTAATGCTCTGTGTGGTCGTTGGTTTAACAACTTGGTGTTGTTGCTATTACTGTTTTCTCAAGTGGGCAGCAATTGAATCATCGCCTTATTTATAAACAACTCGCACAACGTTTTCAGCTGTGGATATTTACTTTTCGCGTACTATGAATTTTGTAACTAATCTCTGCTCTTTTATCTAAATTTGCAGTCGGCTTTTGGGCTTGAACCCGATATGGATATGGACAATATGTTCCCACGCACGCGTCTAGGACGCTTGCACCACGATCCCTTCGCTGGTTTTGGAGGCTCACGTAAGCGGAATAGTTTGCATGAACCGCACTCATTGCATGCTGATGATGATTTCTCTTTATTCGACGACGCTGCAGACTTTGGTTTTCCACAATTCTCCACATTGGGGCGGCGCGGACGCGCCGCGGGTGGTGCCAACAATCAAATGGACAATGATGACGACTTCTTTAATAGACTGCCATCGGACTTCCGGCAATATATACCTGATGGCTTTGGTGCACGTCGCGGGGGTGGCGGAGCCACTCATTCACAACATGGTGGCATTCCACAGCAGCACCAGCAGCAGCCGGTACCCCAACAGCAGCAGGAGACACCATACTATCTTCCCGATTATCTGCCGCAGCATCAACAGCAACCCCAGCAGATGCCGCAATCCCCTTCCAAGCGGCTGTGCGATGCAGCTATTCAAACTGAAGATCCTGCCGGTCGCTCTGAAGTCGATTGCGCACCATCGGGCACGCGTAACGATAATAATTTGAACCAACATGGACTGCGCAATACCATGGACATGGGTGTAAAGAGTGCAGCGGAGCAGGAATTGGCCGCTCGAGCTCATTCCGCACCACCAAATGAGCAGCAACAACAGCAGCGCCCACCGCCCAATGCGTCGCAGCAGCAATTTGGTACCCAGACCAGTCCACAGGTCCAACAAGGCAACTATTCGCCAGCTGCTGGTCAATACCAACAGCACTCCATACCGTCAATACCGCCACTTCACAAGGCATACTATGCGCCTCAACAGCAGGCGCATCCGCAGCAGAAGCAGCAGACGCCGCCGCCTCCTCAGACGCCCAACGGCACCTATGTGCGCACCATACCCATTTTCGTCGAAGGCCGCACCGAACCGATTATAAATGCGCATAAGGAGATACCCAATCAATACGCAGCGCCCGGAGCTCCGTCATCTACTCAGGCCTCAGCCCAGGCTCGGGCCTATGCTCCCCAGCAACAACAGCAACATCAACAACAACACCAGCAACGTCCCACGCCACTCAATACTCAACACACACAACAACAGCCGCCGCCACCAGAGCAGGCAGAGGCAGATGGAGGTGCCGGCCTACCTCCCCAGACACCACACACCCTAGACTCCATCAATAAGATTCAGGATATACAGCGCGATGTGCTCGACCTAATGGGCAAAGTGGAGAAGTTCCAGGGCACGCGCCAGGACAAGGAATACGTTTATCTGGACGAGATGCTGACGCGCAATCTACTTAAGCTGGACACCATTGACACAAATGGCAAGGATAGCATACGTTTGGCTCGCAAGGAGGCCATCAAATGCATACAAGCTTCCATCAATGTTCTGGAGGCCAAGGCAGAGGAGAATGCGCGCCGGACAGCGGGTGCTGACGTCAGCGTGCCAGAGAGAGCAGCGGCTAGTGTGGCGGCAGATGCTTCAGCATCACAAGCAACTGACCCTCAAACACCACAGCCGGCAGATGCTACACAAATCCAACAGCCCATACCCCTGCCAGCACCAGAGCCCAAGACGGATGCCGCTGCGTCTGTGACGGCAGCGGAAAGGACAAACAATGAATCGACAACAACAGCTGCCAGTGTGGAAGCTGCTTCCGCAGAAAGCACTGCACAGACGACCACGTTAGAGGAATCGTCGAAATGATGAAGCCAGAGTCGCTATACGGCGACCATTTCGAAACAGTTACGCAAAATTACCAAATTCAAATAAGATGAGGGATACGTGGTGGATATAGGGGCGCGTAAATTATTTTGGACATATTTTGATTAAATTGAATGAAGCTGATGTAAGGCGATGATGAGGATGTAATTATTATTCGTAAATCTTTGCTAGTATTTCGTAAATACGTATATAAGCATGCATGCAAATCTCATGTGACATAACAAAACATACACAGCAACAAAAACATTACGCTCTAGTTGTTAAGAGAACAGTTGACAAACAAACAAGAAAGTGCCTCAAGAAACGCAAGAAAACAAAAAATGAAATTAGATCTACCATCGAAATTAGAACGCGATCATAAAATTTTCTTTGAAAAACTATATATATACATACATATTATATTAAATAAAAAAAAATCAAATTTCTATAAATGGACTCAAACGAGCTGATTAAATTTAAGCGAGCAGCATATGTATTTGACAAACTGAATAATATTTTTTTGATAGCAGAGCAGCGCGGCCTCAAAATTTAAACTTCTAATACAGTGTGTTGTAGCATTGCCAGATTAAAATGAAATGTTAGTTAAGCTCCAAAGTTATTGAGCTTGAACCGCCTTGTGCCTGATTTAACGCACACTTTTAAAGTCGTGTTTCGAAAACGTTTTTCCAAGTGCCAACTGCTGGTAAATTACAATTGTAAACAATAGCGTGTTGTATGATCTCATACGTACTATTACAGCAACTAAACGCGCTATTTTTTTAACAATTGCCTGCAAATGGTGTGGCAAAAGAAATGGTGAAATAAGACGGTCTGCTTCTGCTCTGTCTCCTGCTACTTATTAGTGTTGAAAAAACCGTTATTAAAATTTAAACAAAATATAATTATTTATGCAACTAATTAATTGAATAAATGTAGATATTGTTGACTATAATATGACATGATCGTTTCTCTTACACTCCCGAATTCCCAACCCATTCAATGCACTGTTTGTTGTTGTTGTACAATAAATTGTTAATTTATTTGAAAAGTTTACAAATTTGCAATAGATTAGGTAATATATATGGTTATTACTACCATTTATACCGGTCATACATATATTGCGGTATACACAGATACAAAAATGCGGCAAATCAAAGGACGTCACTGGTATTTGCATTGGAAGTCTTGGTTATATATAAATACTGCTAAAAATACTCAAACATACATATATATTTGTATGTGGATTGTGAAAAAAGGACGCAACAGTGTTTTACAAACATAAAATCAAAACAATAAAAATATACACACAAATGCACAACATCCAATTTAAAATACAATTATGGACCTAGATACGTTAAAAAAAACAAACGCTATAAAGTTAAAGTGCTCCTTTTTGCATATTAGAATAGCATTACATAAATATGTATAGTCAGAGTTGAATCTCATATAGTTATTGCATTATTGTTCAAGAACATTGCATAGTATATGCATGTATGTATGTATAGTATATATACGTATAAATAATTTCCAAATTTCTAAGTATGAATTTCTAGAGTGCTTTGTGGTACATGTTCCAAAAAAGTACAGCTAAGTATTATGTTATAGGTGTGTGTGTGTGTATGTAGATATCTAGCAAAAAATGTTTCATCGGCTGCTTTGCAGTTGCGGTAATACAGTATTAGTATTAGTATTGGTATTTTTAGTTAATGATCTCGACATAATTTGCCGGAAACAGTCCATAGGTTCCATCGGGCCCGAGCCCTTGCCACCAGCCCTCATCGATTTGATCGATGTGCGTGATAACATCGCCCGGATCGAATGTTATTTCTGATTCATCAGCTGCCTGATAATCGTAGAGTGCGCGCGCACGAAGTCCCAAATCGCCTAAGCTCTCCTGACATATAAAATCATCCTCGTTGACCAGATCCGCTACTATAGCAGGAGAACAGACATGGTTAGTATTAAATATAAAATATTTGTATAAATGATTTACATTCATTGCGCTCGAGGGGGCCTAATCCGTTCTTGGACGCCTGCGATTGCTGCACTGTAACTGAGACCTTTGTGCGCACCTCCTCTTCCTCTTGATACACAGCGGTATCTGTTTCATTTGAAGATGATGTCTCGTCGGGCGACTGGGATTGCAATGAATTAGTTTTGCTGTGCGGCGATCGCTTGATCGTCGAAAACTGCTCGCTTTCATGCGCCAATGGCATGTCATCGTGTTGGGCCGTCTCCTCCTCAGCAGTGTTGAGCATGGCAGAGACTACTTCGGGCGTTACTGGCGGCTCAATGATCTTTGTCGGTGCCTCAACAATAGTTTGAGGCTTCAGTGGCGACACAGCACGTGGTGGTGTCGGAGCAGCTGGCGTATCCGCATCCTGTTGCTGATTAAAGGCGTTGATGCGTTGGGCGATTGAATTCCGCGCAGGCTTAGCGGGTGGTTGTGTATTGAGTCTGTGTGCATAATTATTAATGAAGAGGATTTCTAGAAATGCTATCTTCGGCACTTACTTGGATTGCAGCTGACCCTCGCTGGTGTGTTTGGTGAACATGGCTTTTGCGGCGCCAACGCGAGACCCAATTAGCTCGCGTGCTTCCTGATTGCGCGCCTGACGCATGCGCTCCGCATCTGTTAGGTCGTGCGCAAAGGCAGGTGCCGTTTTCTCTGGACTCAACGGTTGTGGCGAACTGCGGTCAATAAATGGTTAAAGAGAAATTCTTAAACATAACACCAATTACATACGTTTTAATTGGCACGTGCGCTGGCTGCAGTTTGGTGGTGCTTATGACCAGCTTTTCACGCTCCTTGTGCTCCTTTTCCTCACGCATGCGTTGCTCCTGCTCGAGCTTATGCAGCTCCAGGCGTTTGGTTTCTTTTTCCGCCTCAATGCGTCGCTTTTCCTCGGCCTCTTCCTTCTTCCAGAAATCCTGCATGACACTAGCATTCAACTCCTTTGTAGGTATGACACGTGCGTAGTTTGTGCCGACCGGTGCCTTTTGCTCCTCCATGGCGCCACGCGGTTCCTTAAAACTGTACGCAGAACTTACGGTGCTAAGCTTTTTCAGCAAACGCTCCAAATCAATGTCATCGTCATTGCGTGCATTGATCGTCAAGTGGGCCCCAGAAAGCAGTTTGCTCACGTCATGAATATGATTGGCGCAGGTGCCTTTGCGTAGTACAGGTGCTCCCTCGCCCTATGGTAAGAATCACATAAGAGATATGTTTATGAAAACAGTTCTCATTGCCAGCGATAAGATAAGGAAACAGAAATGATTGACTCACCTGCCAGTTTATAAGCAGATATTTATTGAGACCCGTTTTGGGATCTTCAATGCGCACAAAGGCGTACATGATTTTTCCACTGTTCAGATCCTCTATCAGCTCTTCCACTCCCCCCTCGCCGGTTCCAACTACCTTGAGCTCATTGGTCTGACCCTCGTAGCCAAACAATGCCCAATTGGTGCCGCTTTTGTCGTCCAGCACATCCTTCCAAGCGGCAATAATTTGCGCGCGATGCTTTTCAAAGCTGATGGCCATTGTGTGCGTGCGTACGTGTGTGTGTGTGAGAGTATAAAGGAATTTACTGCCAACGACCTTGAACAAAGCCGTCGATTGCAGACAATGCCGTAGCTTCGCAAGCTTTCACTTTTGCCCTTTTTTGGTGGCCGTTGGTGTTACTATTTTGGGTGAAAGCCAACGCCCCACACCGTCACCGTTGGTTTGCCGATTGCCCGATTTTTAATTAAATGCACACAACGGCTGCAGCAGACACACTCACATACACGCATACACATGCAGTAGTTTTAGAGCGGGCGGACCGTAATTGATTTTCCAGCCGACGAGTTTGCGAATTTTCTATTTGGCGTAAACTGCCGTTCCAACACGCCGCTGTTTTATGGGTTGCTACCAGTATGCAACTGACATTTTACTGCTAATTTAGAATATTACTTAGTTTTCGAATACGCTTGTTTATCGCCCCTACTCGCTGCAAATACTCCTGCTTCTAATCCATGCCGACCAGTATTGCCACTCGTGTGGAAGCACATCGACCACCTCGCGTGATTGACACCGACTCACGACTAGTCTCTACCTTTATTGATGCGTCTGGCAGCAATAGTCGCTGCTGTCGATAACGATATCACTGCCCTGCGCTCACCACTAGGTCGCATTTGTGTCGTCGCTCCTGTTCAAGTGCAAGTATTTCTCGGTGAAATTACAAGCAAATGCAATGTTGTGATTGTAAATTAGCCAATAATAGCTAAACCAAGAGCATTGCTATACTCAACAAATACTCGCTGCAAATACAAAATTTCCGACCCTTGCTGCACACGTTCCAGTTCGGGACGATTTGCAGCCAAAATCGCGCAAGGCCAGCCAAACAGCTGCATTCCACACCAACACACACAACAGCAGCAACAACAAACACAGCCAGCACAATTTGGAGACGTCCAAAGCAAAAGGTATAAAAAAAAAAAAAAAAACAGCACCGAACGAAATTTTGTGCCTGCTGTCGTCGCCAAAATTCGTGTTTGCTGCCCAGTCTTGAAACCTGTCCCAACTGCATCGTGCTTGCTCCCCCGGCGACGGCCACCAACCCGCGCCCACAACAACAGCAACAAAAACAACAACAACAGCAGCGGCAGCGGCACAGCACATCCAAACTGTGTTTGCTGGCAGCAGGATTTCGTCTTACTTGTTTCAGTCACAGTCACTCAGCGTCAGTCTTTGTTCAGTTTTCGTTCCATTTACATGCCAATTTTTATACACACTACACTACACTACCCATACTACATATCCAGTTTAGTCTGCATGTGGATGTCGCTGTGTGTTCGAGTTTGCCGCTCATGGTCAATTTCTTTGCATTTTCAGTGTGAAGCCCATGCGGTTCGGCTCTGTCGTCCAATTGCAGCATTGAGAGCAGCAGGCAACTACAATCTAAACAATCACACACACACACACACATAAACAATATGGAATCGGCGCTGGATGTGCTCTCGCGCGCAGCTACCATGGTGCAGAATAATGCGAGTGGTGAGTCCCCCATGTCAGCTGACATTTGTTAACCATTAACTATTTCCATTTAAACAAAACACCAAAAATAAAAAGAAAGAACCTCCCCTCCCAAAACGAAAATAAATAAAAGACGCGCCAACAATGTTTATGATGCGCGTTACTTTTCAACTTGTATGCCCCCAACTACAAACGTATGTACATGCATACATACTTACATTTGTGTAAGTATGTACATATGTATGTATGTACATATGTTCGCTTCTTGCGCTTTATGGCTTTCACCTTTAAGCTTGGCTTTGAAATATTTCAACAATGTTTTTGTGTGCGCGAACAACTCTTTGTCTAAATTAGTTCCAAGTAAACTCTGAGGCTTCGCCCTCCAGCCCTCGGACGACACTCTGCCCATGGGCAGGCAACCATAACTTATACATATAGTTTGTGATTCATTTACCTTCCTAAAGCGTTCACTCACAAAACTCCTGCGGCTTATGTGTGATTCATTAAATTCCACATTTCGAAATGCGTGCAGTCAGTCCAACTCCCATCCATGGAAACAACATCTTCAACCCCAAACCCGAACACATCTGCTGATCGTTGCACACGCACACTTACATACATATGTATTATACACATGCACACAGATTGTCGCATGTCATCGCATGTTTTATTTTTGTACAAAACGAACAAAACATTCCAACAAAATGAGTTTGCGGCGCATTCCGATTCCGATTTTCATAAATGTGTCAAATGCCGCATTTTTGACGACGTTGCTCGGCCAATGCGCGGGCGTTATCAATAGCGGAGCAGCAGCAAAAACTATATAGCTACAGCCGCCATCGAGCACGAATATATGTACATATCGTACATATATGTACATACATATATGTGGATATATACAACCATACATAGGTACATATGTATGTATGTATGTACGTATTGCATATTTTTGTGTTGGCGACATATCTTTTATTTGCAATTTGCATTTGCAAGCGTGTCGGAGGCAACTGCGACTGCCACTTCGACTTGGACGACGACGACGACGACAACGTCAGCAGCGACAAACAAAACAACAACAACAACAACACTAACAGCAACAAAAATTCGCACCGCGTGACATGCCAAAGAAATGTGCGCGCTTGTAAGTCATCAACATGAGCGTATGTGCATACATATGTACATATATTTATACGTATGTACATATGTATGTATGTCTGTGCATGTGCATGTGTGTGTAGAGTGTGTGTATAAATACCTACATAAATACCCATACACAATTCAATTGTTTAGAAACAATTCTGGCGCAATTTTTAATGCAACAATTAGCAATAAATTAGCGATAAGCCGACATCACCAGAATCGCGTCCACTATTTATACATATGTATGTTTGTACTATATGAGGGCCTGTCGATAAAGTGCGCTGATTTATTTTTACGGAAAGCATAACAACTGTTGCGAGCTGTGAAATATTTGGACTCTTAGGGGTAGAAGCGATAAGGAATAGTATTTTGAAAAAACGGATGGAACATGAATTACACAAACCAATAATTTGATATAACATTTATAGAAAGCGGCCTTTGTCCTCGTCAATTATCACATTTATTTGAAAATTATAACTGTAGCAGCTTGCTTAGAATTTTACTAAATCGTTTCCATTGTCCTTAGGCATAATTGAAATATTTCCACTTTGTCGTTTGGTATGCGTTGATTTATTTAGCGGAAGTTTTTGGAATTTTTTAGTACATTTAAAGGCTTGTGATAAGGAAAATAATATCAAGAAAGCATTGGGGGACTACTCAAATGCGCATTTATAAATACTTAGAAGGCGCCCTCCATCCGCCTCAATAAATATTTTCGAATAGTTGCGAACATAAAATAATTGACGCATTCAAAGAAAATAATAATTTATTTGTTTTTGAAATCTACGAGTCTAACTGCAAAGCTTCAAATTTTAGAATAGTCGTTTATATGTATTACACTTAGACTTCCACTAAGAAAAGCTTCGGTTGATGCTATAATGAACAGATGGTAGCAATGTTTGTACTGGTCAGTGATAACTCTTCGGAAGAAAGAAGCTCGGTATGCTGTGGGGCTATCGCTAATAGTTTACAACTCATATTAATCTTCTCAAATCAGTTTTTAGACAAAAATTCCAACGGTAATAACAAACTACTCTCGAATGTATAGTAGAAGGCCTCCAATTCTTGCATTATTATTATTATATACGAATAGGAAAAATTTCATCAAATAAGTGTGGTGTTGAGCTTCTTAGCATTTCAAGATGCAGGATTAAAAGCTCTTAATCTGTTCTTGGAAATAAACATACTAGAGTCCTATTCCCATTTCTAATTTCTATTCAAATATTCGCAAGCAAAATGGCATAAAAAAAAACCCTCAAATTGGCAATTGAATGAATTTATTGAATTTAATTCTTGTTCCTGTAAAAAATTTTATAAAGAAGTTCTATTTTGTAAATATCCAAAAACCTAAAGCTGCGGTCAGATATTGAAATAATTTGCACACAAATAAGGACGCTAAATGTCGCGTTTTTTGTTCATACCTCTTCTGTTATTATTAACCAACAAATATGGCTATTTTCAACGTAGTGCTAATTTCATTTGATCTTTCTCTGCAAAAGTAACCCACTAGTAACTCATAGATATAATCCATCAAAGTCATGCTACGCCGAAAATGCTATTTATATTCAAATTATCGATCAATCTCTTACACGAGATTGCATGAAATTCTTTAGTTTTGGCGGACTTTAGCTTAATTATGTTATATATGTAAACAATGTGTATAGCAAGAGCTGAGAGAAAAAATGTTTATTCCTAATCATTTATAGTAAGTTTTGGGGACATTTAGGAATCAGAGCTAAAATAAAGAACAATTTTTCTACCTTTTGCCCGCTTAAAGAAATAAAAACAAACGACAAATGTTATTGTTCATTTTTTTGAGGCAGGAATTATAATAATTCTATTTAAAATTTCTTTATTATGTGAGGTCTTCAGTAAACAGTTCTGATTGTTCAAAGACGTCTCATCCAAGTTCTATAATTGACTATTTCGTTGGATTTATTCATAGTTTTATTTGCCGGCCTATTAACTGATTATACTATATAGTTTCTTCCATAGGCCCCTTCCTCATTATTCGAAAAGACTCAGTTCCTAAAAATATTTTAAATTCGAATTCTTGGCATAATTTCATACGAATTCCTTGCGCGCACAGAATAAATCAGAATTGTGATATGATTTCATTTTTTATGAATGTTTTTATAAGCACAGACATATAAAACGCACATTTGCATACCAATCTCATTAAGAATTTCACCACTTTGATTATTTATATTTATGTGTATGTGTGTGTGTGTTTATTTTGTTGATTTTTGTTTACTCTTTTGCGATCCAATTTGATGTTTTTATCAACACATTTGACAAATTCCTTCGCAAAAGTATGCGTACAGCTGCCATATATATATAAATACATATGTACATACATATAGTACATATATATGTACAATCAAACATTCAGACGCAATTTATGAAATATCAGCCGCGTCGGTGGCTCACATGAACAACAGCAACAACAACAACAACACAATACTGTGTGATAAAGTGTTTTGAAAATAAATTCTTGAGCGGACAATTAGCGCGCGTTTCGCACGCGTTTTCAAACGCCTGCAAATCGCAGTGCTTGCGTTTTTTCGAGTCTTCTTCAACGCGAAGACAAATCGAACGCATGTCAACAGCAACTGCTCAGTTTTGGCCAAAATAAACTACGAACTATATAGTACAGTATTACCCCAATAATACTCAGTTTTGGCCAAAACAAACTACCAACTATGTAGTACAGTATTACCTCGATCATCTGGACAATTAATGCTCAGCCAATGTCATGTTATTTAGAAGAAATGTTTATTTTCATTAATAACATCCTTTTGCTGATTTGAAGTTTGAAGTTCTATCAAAGCTAGAAAATCAAT